GCTTGCAATGCCAAGTGCTGTTTGCTAATGTGCCTGGGAAAGCAGTGGAAGGTGGCTCAGGTGTTTGGGCCCCTGCCACCCACTCTCCTGCCCCCATGAGAGACCCAGACGAAGTTCCTGCTTCCTGGCCTCGGGACTGGCTCAACTCCGGCCACTGCGACCATTTGGGAGTAAAATAGCAGAGGCAAGATTTGTCTTTTCCCGTTTCTCTGCCTTATCAAATAATAAATAGCAAACACAGCACTGGATTCCAACTGGGCCACACTCCAGGGCAGCTGTAGCAATTCGACATCCACTAAACCGACTAGCATGTTGCCCATCAAAAATGAGTTTCTACTGTTGAAAACTAACATCAGTTAATTGTCATGAGGCTCTCACCAACTGAATGCACTTGAGACGACCCAGAAGCTCTTGCATGACCGGTTGCTTTCACTCAGGACGCAGGCCTTTGCCACACTGCTGCGTCCACCTCATAAAAGCCTTAGGCACGGGGCAGGAGAGCAGGGACCACACCTAGCCCACAGCAGAGGATGTGCCACTGGCCTGTGCATCAGCTTCACCATGGCCGAGGCGAGAGGCACAGCCCCTCAACACTCTCCTGGTAACCTGAGCGACTTCAGAGGTGCAGAGATGATCAGACCGGGCACCAGATCTACCGAAGACAACAGGCTTGGTGGCTTTGGAAACATCCTAGCTGGGGCCACTGCCACGCCAGTATCCCTTAGTAGAGGTCAGGTTTGAGTCTCAGCTGCTCTGTTTCGGATCCAGCTTCTTTGGGCTGATGTGCATGGGATGGCAGAAGAGGGCCCAGGTGCACAGGCCTCTGTCACCCATGTGGGAGACCCGCTGGAGTTCCTGCTCTTGGTTTTGGACTGGCCCAGCTGGCCACTGTGGTCATTGTGGGAGTGAGCCAGCAGATGCATGCTTTGTCTTGCTGGCTCTTCCCATTTGTCTGCCTTTCAAAGAAATAGGAAGAGAGCCCGGTGCAGTAGCCTAGTAGTGGTTAAAGTCCTTACCTTGCACACACCGGAATCCCATGTGGATGCTGGGTCTAATCCTGGCAGCCCTACTTCCCATCCAGCTCCCTGCTTGTGGCCCGGGAAAGCAGTGGAGGATGGCCCAAAGCCTTGGGACCCTGCACCAGTGTAGGAGACCCGGAAGAGCTCCTGGCTCCTGATTGGCTCAGCTCCGGCCATTGTGGTTACTTGGGGAGTGAATCATCAGACGGAAGATCTTCCTCTCTGCCTTTGCTCTTTTCTGTATATCTGATTTTCCAATAATAAATAAGTAAATAAAATCTTAAACAAAGGAAGAGAGAAAAGGTGACAGTCCTTCAAGGCTTCCCATTCCACATCAATGTCCTGCACATTACCAGGGAGACAAAAATCTGACTACAAGCTCAGCTGATTTTTTTTTTAAAGATTTATTTTTCTTATTTTTTTATTGGAAAGGCAGATATACAGAGAGGAGAGACAGAGAGGAAGATCTTCCTTCTGATGATTCACTCTCCAAGTGAGCGCAACGGCCGATGCTATGCCGATCCGAAGCCAGGAGCCTCTTCCGGGTCTCCCACACGGGTGCAGGGTCCCAAAGCTTTGGGCCGTCCTCGACTGCTTTCCCAGGCCACAGGCAGGGAGCTGGAAGGGAAGCGGGGCTGCCGGGATTAGAACCGGCGCCCATATGGGATCCCGGGCGTGCAAGGCGAGGATCTTAACCACTTGCGACACCGCTCCGGGCCCAGCTGATTTTTTTTTAAAGATTTATTTTTACTGGAAAGGCAGATATACAGAGAGGAGGAGAGACAGAGAGGAAGATCTTCCATCCAATGGTTCACTCCCCAAGTGAGCTCAATGGCTGGAGCTGAGCCAATGTGAAGCCGGGAGCCAGGAGCTCTTCTGGATCTCCCACACGGGTGCAGGGTCCCAAAGCATTGGGCCGTCCTCGACTGCTTTCCCAGGCCACAAGCAGGGAATTGGATGGGAAGCAGGGCTGCCAGGATTAGAACCAGCGCTCGTATGGGATTCCGGTGTGTGCAAGGTGAGGACTTTAACCACTATGCTATTGTGCTGGGCCCTAGCTGATTTTTTTTTTTTTTTGCCACTTCCTGCATAGTCCAAATGAGACCTGTGTCCCACCTTTGTCACTGGAAAAATCTACCTTGCACACTAACACTCAGGTCGTGTGCTGCGGATTGGGGCTTTCCTGAGCTGTTGAAGCAGTTTGCCAAGGTGAGGAAGTGGCAGCAAGCACTCAGGTCTTTATGTGAGGCTTGCTCCTAGGTCCTTAATAAGGAACTTCCCTAATTTACGGACTCGGGAGCATTGTCTGGCCAGTACGGGCTGAAAGGCAAGCAGAGCCAAAAGCTCAACGCTGCTCAGGAGTTGGATTTCTCCTCTATTACAAACAACTGTCAGTTGAACGCGGCATTGGGGTCCTGTGCTGATCGACTCGGATGTGCTCATGTTTAACGCCACACAACTTCACAACATGCTCACTGTCTGCGAACTGCCCATCCACCTTGCATTCCAACCCTAAGCTCTCCCTCCTTGAAGCTGGCCAGGAACTATTGGGTTACATCTGCCCTCCTGTCCCTTGCCATTCCCCAGGGAGAGAATTTCACTGTCCAGGTGAACCTTGTCCTGTGTTTGTTTTCAATCGCCTTGTGTCACCCTCCACTAACCACCCTGGGCAGCGCCTTCTGCACCTGGGGTTACAGGGCTGCTGGGCCTCCCTGCCCTTCCACCAGGGTCCGCCGCTGCTCACTTCCCCAGCCCAAACCCCGGCTCCCCCTCCCACAGTGGTGGATCCTTACAACTGTGACCTGGGGACATGCTCACAGCCATGGAGTATTGTGTGATGCTCTACTCTAAGAACTAAAGTTTGGACCTATGCAGAGACCTTTCTTGTTACTGGAGTGTACGTGAACAGGGTCCTGTTCTGAGAATTTTTTATAAAAAGGACATCCGGGTCAAGTGCAGTAGCCTAGTAGCCAAAATCCTTACTTTGCATGCTCTAGGATCTCATATGGGCCACTGGTTCTAATCCCAGAAGCCCCACTTCCAATCCAGCTCCCTGCTTGTGGCCTGGGAAAGCAGTAGTGGATGGCCCAAAGCCTTGGGACCAAGAATCTGTGTGGGAGACCCTTGAGGAGGCTCTTGGCTTCGGATTGGTGCAGCTCCAGCTGCTGCAACCACTTGGGTAGTGAATCACCAGGTGGAAGATCTTCCTCTCTGTATATCTGACTTTCCCATAAAAATAAAAAAATCTTAAAAAAAAAAAAAGGCATCCACTTGGCCAAAGCACAAAGCCGAAGGTGATTTGGCACGGTAGCAGGTCGAGCAGCAGCTTGGAGATCTGCATCCCCATCAGAGCACTGGCTTCCTGCCCTGCCGCCCACTTCTAACCTAGCTTGTCAATAACGCGTGTCCTGGGAAGCAGGTGCTGGCTCAGCTGCTTGGGTCTCTGCCACTGACACGGGAGATCTGGACGAGCTGTGGACTCTTGGCTTTGGCCCAGTGAAGGCCCAGCTGTTACAGATGTCTGGGGAGTGAACCAGCAGAAGATCATTCTCTCTACTTTTATAATAAACCTTAATACAAAGCCAGCCACAGCAATTGTATCTATAACTGCAGCCATAAAAGGCAACACAGCTAATTCTATTTGTTCAAACATTCCAATCATTTTAGGAAAGTGAATGAGAAACAAGAAAGTCATGAGCCAGATTTAACTGTTTTGGTCACATGCCAAATCCCATCACTCTGTTATTTCCTATCCAGAATTAGTGATGCCCATGGTATATTCCCAGGCAGCCACAGCTTCACAGGGAATACTGGAGGGGGCGGAGGGGCTCCACTCCTCCAGACACATAAAAATGAAAGATTCCAATGTTCTCTGCAGATCTTACCCTCCACTGTAAATGTTTGGGTTCTTGGGCCTGGTGCAGTGGCCTAGAGGCTAAAGTCCTTGCCTTGAATGTGACGGGATCCCATATGGGCGCTGGTTCTAATCCTGGCAGCCCTGCTTCCCATCCAGTTCTCTGCTTGTGGCCTGGGAAAGCAATCGAGGATAGCCCAAGACCCTGCACCTGCATGGGAGACCCAGAAGAAGCTCCTGGCTTCGGATGGAACTAGGCTCTGGCTGTTGCGCTCACTTGGGGAGTGAATCATTGGATGGAAGATCTTCCTCTCTCTCCTCTCTGGATATCTGATTTTGCAATAAAAATAAAAATAAATCAATCTTAAAAAAAAGACATTTCTAAAATAAATAAATGAATAAATGTTTGGGTTCTTTATGAATGAGAATTTACATTATTTTCACACAGGAAGTAAAGACTGTAGAACCTTGAGATCTGTACTCTGAACATTCAAAGCTTAAACAAAAGCTCAGATCTGGTCCTTAGGAATTTCAAAATGTAATCAAAATAAACATATATTCTGACTTGGCTCCTTTCCATCAAAGCCTTTGTGATTTATTTTTATTTCACAGTACTTCCAGTAATATGATGTTGATTCAGAAGCTGAAGAAAAAGGACACAAGAATTTGAAGGGCTTAAATATATTTTTATATTGATATTCTGTGTCTTTCTAAACCCTAAAATAATACATTATCATTGATACATACAGGATGAGGTGAGGTATTTGTAAAGTATCTCATAAAAAATAATTAATATACAATATTCTACATGAGATGGAATTTTATGAGTCTTTAGGTTTTCTGAGTGTTAAATTGATCATCTAAATTAAACTGCCCTGAATGGACTTACAGTTGTTCCCGAAAACCATGTGAAAAAATGAAGGATCATACATTCTCTCCAGAATTTGTGCAGAAAAGGGAAAGCACATAATTGGCAATTTATTTTTCTCACATTCAAATAATGCATTCACACAAAATCAGAATCTTCATGTTTAGCATTCAGAAGAAAAAAAATACTGAATTAGAGATATAAAATCTCTGAGTAATACTTAGGCTAATTTACCAACACCAAAGAAATTCAAGTGGTCAACAGTCTTGAAAATGCTTTATTGAAATGTGTGACTTATGTGCAGAAGATGCGTTTGTAAAGACCACAGTTTGAAAAATGGGTTTTGAAACTTCTCAACAATCAATTGGAAAAAAGAGATCCTCGCCAGCCCCGACTCCTAGTGTGACCAGAAGCCTGGGGAATCTGCCTCGAAAGCATTGCCCATTCCAGAAACGGAGAACACAGCTGTTCTATGTGGAAACCACGGGGGGTTTCAGAGAAGCAACAATTTCTGAGAGATGTAGGGTGACTTCTTTTTTGGTTCCATTTGGATGAACATGGATTTCACAGTTCTCGAAAGAACACCCAAGGGATGTTCAAGTCTGTATGCTTGTCGTGTGGAGGAAACGGAAGGACAGACAGCCAAGGAAGGGGGGGACTCAGAGAAGAGAGAACGGGAACAAGACATGATTAGATTAAGTCTAGTTATAAATTTATCAGAAGCTGTGCGCACCTTTTTTTTTTTTTAAAGTCCTAAATTTACATTCCAAAAACTGCCCCCCCAACCCAGACACCTGCTGTCCTGCCTCGGAGCTACCGTGAAAGCCTATGCACAAAAACGGAAAACAGAACATAAAAAACAACCCAGCCCCTCCAAACCCAAAACAAAACCAAAAGCTGTACATTTTGTTTTTTTTTAAACACATAGGATTAATATAGGCAAGGTGGCATGATTCAATTTTTTTTAAAAGGCTTTTCTTTTTATGCCAGGAAAAAAAAAATCCCAATAAATAAAAGGTGCTAAGGTTAGCAGTAAGAACTTGGTTGTAATACCATGACAAGATGTGGGAAGGCAAACCCTCAGCGCTCCGTGATGCTGTCCTGTCTCAGCACACTACAAAGCAGATACATAACGCAAGGTACGATTGAGAATGTGAGATTTTTAAAAACAAAGACAACATAATTCAGGTTAACTTTGTTGAACAGTGAATAAATGAAATTCATCTACACCCGAATAAAACATATTTTAACAATTGGAAAATTTTAAACAACCACAAAAAATAAAAACTTTAAACAAACATGAACAGGATTTGTTTTCAGGGCACACAAAGGCCCCTGCAGCAGATTCTGATGGTGGCTGTACTGGTATGTCTTCCACGGAGGACTCAGACAGGCCGAGCTCCACACGGGCCCGATGACGAACACGGCGACAGGACAGTCACACAGGGCAGAGCGCCAGACCTGGCTACGACCCCCAGATTCCACTGCAGAGCTGGCCTTGTGCATATAGGAGGCACACAAAGAAAGGTGATTCAGGCAGACATTATTCAAAAGCTACTCTATCGTGTAACCATTGAATAATGTTTGGGAAAGCTTTGGGCTTTTTATTTATTTATTTTTTAAGTTTTACTCCTTGTATTTAATTTTTTAAATAACAAGGTCACTAAAACTCATGCACGCTGCAAAAAACCTCATGCAGTAGTTAAGGTAAACCATCCAAGCAGTTTTTATTCATTAATATTCATAAATACACACAGCAGCTTCATTAGAGATTTCAATTTTCCTCTTCAGTTTGAATGTGGAGTATTAGGAGAGCCTTTTGCATGTCAAGGTACAGGAAGCAGAGGTCACCCCTGCACTGCTACCTACATTTACCTGCTAGAAGTAAAAATTAGTTAAGTGGAAATGATTATCATATATATTTTCTCTCTTCCTTTTGAATGTACACAATGTAACAAGAGTGACAGACCTGAAATTACAATCACCAAACAAACCCAAGATAGTTGTTGTCCACTTTCATTGGCAAATACAGCACAGAGGACATCGTCTGCGGATTGGGATGTCATCAAAGAGGAGGTGGTGGAGGCTCATTTCCTTTATTACTCTCTTTTAAATTTAGATTTTCTAAAGCAACATCTAAAGGCATAATATCTACACAGCCCATAGCACCAAAATCTGCCATCTCCCCCCGTTCATCCTCATCTGAGGACGAGCTCTCTTCGCGCACTAGAGTGGACAGGAGGAGCTCTTGCACAAACAGGCTGCGATCTGCACGCTCGCTCTCCATGGACTGGCGCTCCGTTTCAGACATTTTAGGATCATTCAACCTGTGTAAGTTAAAAAGAAAATGCCTTATTGGTAAAAAGTCAATGAACAATGTCGTGGTCAATTTTTATAACGTCTTCCACTCTGCAGGCTTTGCAGGTTACAAAGTTCAGAACTGCCTATTATTGGAACATCTGCTTCTCATTTATTACTTTATCTACATTGAGATAAAATCCCCACATTTGTGGCAATATGTTGCCTGGAAGTGCAAATCTCTGCCATAATCAGATCCAATGAGAAAAATGAAAACCAAAAAACATTTAGATCTCACCTACTGTCCCTCCAGAGAAAACTGTTGAAAACTCTCCTGAGTAAAAAGTATTTCTAATAGATTATTAGATGCTTAGGATAGTAATTAGTTGACAAAAACAAAAGCTGTCGTGGCCAGCGTGGCCAGTTGAAACACACTGCCAAGCGCGCCCCTGACTTTTTCTCCATTACCTCCACCCCGCCCCTCTTGGAACGAGTCCAGGAGCCTGAGAGGACAAAAACCACATGCTTCTCCCGCCTCTCTCTTACCAGGGACCAAAAGGAGGGCAGGGCCCTACCTGCCCTTCACACTACAGACACTTAAGACACCGAGGCTATGCTGGGAAACTTGGCCCATTGCACAGTCTGGACAGAGAGCAAGAATCAACAATTCCACTTTCCTCTTACTAAACAACTTAAAAATATCAATTCTCCAATTTAAAGAGGCAAATTCAGCCTAGCTTCAGCACTACTTCGTTGTCTCTATGCTTTCTGTTGCAATGAAAGGGAAATTAGTGGGAACTCCAGGACCAGGAAAAGTAATAGGAAGGATGGGAACTGTGAAAGGACAATCAGTGGCCACACAAGACAGGTGCTTCCCTCTGTGCCCAGACTCCATATTGTTGCCAACCAGCGCAAGTAAGAAGTACCACGAGGTCATCACGGATGAGCCTTACCAGGCTCTGATGCGGGCCAGCCTCTGAACTTTCTGGGTGTACTGGTTCTTTTAATTCTTATCAGTTAGGACCTGTTATTACCAAGTTTTTACAGGAACAGGAAACAGAAGCAGAGATTAACTTGCTCAAAATCTTATATAGCTGTTAAGTTTAGAACCATCATGGAATGATTAGATCTATGGCTCAGAAGTTAAAAGACCTAACTTTTAGAACTTAAAGAAAGCAAAAATTTCTGCAAGGTCATTACATACAAGCCACTAAATCAACACTGAAGGGGAATGACTGGTGACAGTTATGGTTAACTGAATAATATGAGAGTGCATCTAGCAGTATAGGAGGTTAGGCAGTGGGTCAACACAATCTCAATGCAAAAGCAGACAACTGTTAAGAACTGAAGTGTACTGCAGAAAAATCTAAAAGTCAATGTTTTACAGAAAAGATTAAAGGGTACAGAGAAGACTATCCACAAAACCAGAAAGAGATTGCTGCCTTCAGCACTTCAGAGAACACAGGGTTCCACCATTACTGTTTTGATTTTCAGGGAAGTAACAGAGAAAGTGCCCCACTCCTAAGCAGCAGACAGACTGATTTCCTGATGGGACAAACTTCATTTAGGATCTGAAAAGAAATGCAAAGTGGTGAGAGCCTTAAAATTGGGGTTACTAAAATTAGTTGGTCCCATCTGACCTAAATTCTTAACCATCTTCTCTTTCTTTAACCCTCAAGAAACTGTGTATTGGGCCCGGAGCGGTGGCGCAAGTGGTTAAAGGTCCTCGCCTTGCACGCCTGAGATCCCATATGGGCGCTGGTTCTAATCCCGGCAGCCCCGCTTCCCTTCCAGCTTCCTGCCTGTGGCCCGGGAAAGCAGTCGAGGACGGCCCAAGGCTTTGGGACCCTGCACCCTGTGGGAGACCCGGAAGAGGCTCCTGGCTTCGGATTGGCATAGTATCGGCCCGTTGCGCTCACTTGGGGAGTGAATCATCGGACGGAAAATCTTCCTCTCTGTCTCTCATCTCTGTATATCCGCCTTTCCAATAAAAAAAAAAAATAATAATAATAAAAAAAAAGAAACTGTGTATTGGGCTTGATGTGATGGCTCAATTGGCTAAGCCTCCCATTGTAAGTGCCAGGATTCCCTATGGGCACCAGTTTGTGTCACTCTGCTTGTGGCCTAGGAAAGCAGTGGGATGACCCAAACCTTAGAACCCTGCACCCAAATCTATCTTTTTGAATCTTTAAAATTTTTTTTTAAAAAAAAGTAAGATTGATTTATTTTTCCTGGAAAGGCAGATATAAGGAAAGAAGCAGAGACAGAGAAAGATCCTGTCTGTTGGTTCACTCCTCAGGTGGCTTCAGCAGCTGCAGCTGAGCTGGTCTGAAGCCAGCAGCCAGGAGATTCTTCTGGTCTCCCCCTACTGCTTTCCCAGGCCACAGGCAGGGACCTGGGTAGGAAGTGGAACAGCCAGGACACGAACTGCTGCCCATATGGGGTCCCAGCATTCCCGGGTGAGAATTGCCATTGAGCTATTGTTCTAGGCCCAAAACCAAGCAAATCTTCAAAAACATCTCTGTCATTAATTCTAGGGCAACATGAATAGCTACTGTCATGGGTCAAAGAGACCAAAAATAAAACAGCCCATGTGTAACAGGAGTGCTCTGTGGGCAGAGTGCAGCATGCCCCTGCACAATGTAGCTGCTCTTTTTCCCCTGAAGTTTCACAGTGCAGGTTAATATGTTCAAAGTCCTGAAGAGTATAATGGTAAATGAATTCTTTAGTTTTCCTCAAACTTATTTGTCAGGACAAAAACAAAAAAATCCCCCAAAACAGATAATGTAAAAAAAATTTATATTTCGTATAAATATAGTTTCATAGAATTTTTTTGGAAACACTGTCTTCAATGAACCATGGATCAAAAAGATGTAATAAAAGATGTAGAAAGCAGTCTGCAAGCTACAAGATACTGAGACTAACAGCATCAGATAATGCCACAAGAAAATCCAAGGAGGCCACCCGTGGCAGGCACCAGGAGTTGGCTGTAAAGTGTAGAGTAGCTGCACAGAGAAGCAAACAAAACAAAACCAGAGCAGGCCACTGCAAGGTGTGGGGTTAAAAAAAACATAGGGCAAGAGTGGGAAGATGTCTTTTTCAAAGGGGACTGGCAGGACTTTTCAGTACAATCAGTTGCTTAGGGGCAGTCATTACAAGGCAGCAGGTGGATCCACCTATGATTCTGTGATGCCTTCATGTTGAATCAGTATTTCCCAGGAGTGATTGGCAGAGGAATATATACATTGCTAAAATCGGTTTCAGAAGCAAGTAAGAACTGCATTCCCCTCAGTGGAGAGGCTCGCTGTGCTTACTATGTGGTCGTTACACTGATGAACCACTTCCGTAAAGGTACTGCTGCACTAAACAAAGAAATTTAAATACAGCTTATTTAGAAGTACTTTGGGTAAACCGCCCCCCTTGTATTGAAACTTCTTTTGTACCTTTTAAATTTCACAGAAGAAATTTAAATGGACAATTAAGAAAGCAAAATTGGTTATGCTGATTAACACATCTACCATGTCCCATATGTAGTGTTTTAAGCTTCATATTCATATTAGGAAAAGAAAATTCATATTAGATAATAATATTCACCTTAAGAACAATATTCTTAGATTACCTAAAATTATTTTTTCATATTCTTGTGGAAATATACTACACATGAAATTTTGATTAGATTTGGAAGTTTTAACAATGTGGTTAAAGGTAGAATTTCTAAGGTTATAATACATGCATAAAAGAGATGATACAAACTTCATGGGACAACAGCATTAATTCTCGTGAATAAAATTCTAATAATAAATAGGCTAACCTTGTTAAAAGAAACTGGGAATTCTGTAGAGTTTGCTGGCTGCTTTCTGTATTGGCTGTGTTGCTTGTGGCTGTGGACTGTGTGACTGTAGTGGTGACACTGCTCGTGTTAGGACGCCGCGTGGCGTTGCGTGCGGTCTCCAGTTGTTGCCGGGCTGCCTGGGCATGCTGCCGTTCAAGCTGCAGCTGCATCTGCAGTTGCTGTAACTGAGAAGCGGAAGGGCCAGAAGAATTAAGCTGTCCTCCTGCAGACCGTCTCACTCCTGATAACTGAGATAAAAGCTCTGCCAATGGAAATGAAGATAATTAATGTCTAATTCTGAGGAAAACAAAATGTTACAGATCACTTTTTAAACTAGAAGACTACAAAAAGTAGAAAGAAAAGATCTTAATTTCATTGCCCCAAACTGTAAAATCTATGCATATGTGACATCTTCAAGATGTTCGTGGAGGAGTGGGTGTTGTGACACAGCACATTAAGCCTCCAGTCAGGATGTCTGTATTGTATACTGGAGTGCCTGGGACCAAATCCCATCTCCACCTGGGAGGCAGCAGCTGTCTGCCCAGGGCTTTGGTCCCGGCCGCCTGCACGGGAGGCGGGATGGAGTTCTCTGTGCTAGCCCAGCCCTGCCTGGTGGTTGGGGCTACTTAAGGAATGAATCAGAAAACAGATCTGTTTCTTGCCTTTTAAAACAAAACAAAACAAAACAAAACAAAAAACAAAACAAAAAAAACCCATCTTTATAAAGTTTATGGAAAATGACCATTATGAAAAAATTTTTCTACACCAAAATGAATACTTTTAAGTATACTCTTCTGGGAACTTTCTGACAGAAAACATTTTTATTCACAGGAAAGAATTAAAGTACTGGAGAACATTTCTTCAATTTTTAATTTTGCTCCCAGAAATTACTGTAACCTTCAGACACTTCTTTCAAAGACAGCAAGCAGGTAATCAGTCTCTTTGGACACATCAGTATTTTTATAGTGCCCAAACTTAGTTTGTTGGGCCCTTTCAGTTGTTGCACATTCAAATACACATTCAGAATTTTAATGTATACTTTACATTTAGAGATTCTCTCCAGTAACACTGTTCTGTGTCTATAAGACAGATTTCAGTCTCAGCACATTTCTGGCGTTTGGTACCTCCCAGGTGCATGTTCATTTCTGGAACGATCTGCTTTACACTAACATACTTTGTCTTTCCATTTGTCTGCTTGATGAATCTTGCAGATTCTTAGGCTTCCCCCCCTTTTTTTTTTAAAATAATTTTAAACAAGATTTATCTATTTTTTTTAATTGGAAAGTCAGATATACTGAGAGGAAGATCTTCCTTCCGCTGGTTCATTATACAAGTGGCCACAATGGCCGGAGCTGATCTGATCTGAAGTTTTTCTGGGTCTCCCATGTGGGTGCAGGGTCCCAAGGCTTTGGGCTGTTCTTGACTGCTTTCCCAGGCCACAGAGAGCTGGGTGGGAATTGGGGCAACTGGAACAAGAACCGGTGTCCATATTGGATCCCGGCATGTGCAAGGTGAGGACTTTAGTCACTAGGCTATTGCGCTGGGCCCATAGATTTATTTTTTAATCGACAGTTACATATGGGGGAAGAGAGAGATTTTCTATCTGCTTGTTCAGTCCCCAAATGGCTGCAATGGTCTGAGCTGGGTCAGTCCAAGGTTGGGAGCTAAGAGCTTCTTCTGAGTCTCCCATATGGGTGTAATGGCCTAAGAACTTGAGCCATCCTCTGTGCTCTCCTAGGACATTATGAGAGAGGAGTATTGGATGTTAGCAGCTGGGACAAGAACTGGTGCCTACATGGAATGCCAGTCCTGCAGGTGGAGGATTAGTTTGATACACCATTGTGTTGGCCTCTTGACTGACTTCGGACATGTTGTTCTGTCTCTGATGCTCTTGTACCAACTTCCCAGGTTACATGGCAAGTAGGCTTAGCAATTTGGTCTTCAACTATAAATTCAAATATTTTACAATTTCCCAAAACTACTGAAAATATATACGTTTTAGTAATGTTCTATAACATAGCTCTCAAATAAAGGTAAGAACAGTTCGGGGGGGGGCGGGGGGGGGTTAGAGTAGGCAGTGGGACACCACAGTGGCACTGCAGGCTAGTCCTCCACCCTGTGGCTCCAGAATCCCATATGGGTGCCGGTTATGTCCCAGTTGTTCCACTTCCAATCAAGCTCTCCGCTAATGGCCTGGGAAAGCAGGAGAGGATGGTCCAAGTCTTTGGAAACCTTCTAAAGGATGGAAGACCTTGTTTCTTCCTCCTTCTCTGTAAAACTGCCTTTCAAATAAAAATAAAAATAAATCTTAAAGTTTAGAAATTCCTACTTCACATTAGTTTCTTTTATTTAGTGGGGGATATGCTCTATGTTCCCCAATGATTCCTGAAATTTCATAGTGGTGAATCACACATATGCTTTTTTCCTACACAAACATCTATCAAAAGTTAGTACTTTTTTCCATCTTAATCAAGTAATTATCATACACTACAGCTCTTTTAGTTTGAGGCCCAACAGCAACAGTTCTCAAATTCCGTTTTCCTTCTTTACAATTTCATGGATAGATTTATTCTTACTGCACATCCCAGCAGTCTCAGTGTAATTTCTTCTCCATTACTTATTAGGTCAAGAACCTTCACCTTTTCACATAAAGGAAGCACTTTATGACTTCTTTTGGCCCATTCCAATTGCCGCTATGCAGGTCACTGTAAAGGCTGCCCAAGCACAAGTCCTGTGATGACGTCACAGTGCCAGTGGACACTGGATCTGAGAACTGAGACAGCTATTGCATGACCACAGGTGGGTAACACACACAGTGTGGATATGCGGAACAGAGGGATGCTTCATGCCCAGGGGAAGACAGTATGGAGTTTCATCAAGTGATTTAGAATTACGTATGATTTAAAACTACAAAACGTTTATCTGTGAGGTTTTCTTTTACTATTTTTTGCATCATGATAATTGCAGGTAACAAACTTTGTGACACCAGAGATAGGAGAAAAGTAATTAGCTTTCTTCCATGACAAGAGCCTATTTCTCCAGTCCTACTGACTAGCTCTATTATTGATGTACTCGTAGAGGTTGGACCATGAAATTTTGAAGGTCTTCCAACTTCTGTCATCTTTTCTGGGGTCATAAATACAACATGAACGTGTTTCTTACTATCTTATGCTTCTAAGCACCAAAGATATGCCAAAACAACAAACTCAATTCTTTATATGGTTTTAAAACAATTTATAAATACTTGGGAATTTTATAAAAGAACACAGGTGTATGGTCAGAGGTAAGAATAAAGACAAATCCTTGAGGCAGACATATGGACAGACAGTTTAAGTGTCCAGATGATTAGGGTGCCAATTTCCCAAACCAGGTTCAGTATTCAGCTCTGGCACCTAACTAACTTCTTAATGCAGACTCTGGGTGGGAGCGGTTATGTGTCAAGCAGTCAAGTTCCTAACACACATGTGGGACACTTGGCTGGAGTTCCCCCGCCATAGTTTCAGCCCTGGCTCTGTCCCAGCCACTGGAGGACTGGGGGAGTAAGTTGATAAAAACTTTCTCACTCAGATACATAAAGAATTTACAAGACAAATCCCACAAAAATAACCCTTGCCATTTTCTCTATGAACGTGAAACCAACTTACCAGCTATAGGATCCATGGCTTCCCTATTGCTTGGAGAATATGAACTCTGAGAAGAAGAAAGTCCACCAGTAGAACTGCTAGTAAAGTGCATGTTTGATCTACGAGCACGAGGACCTCCTAATCCCCGGCCAGGGTGAAACATTCTACGTACATGTCGAACACCACTCGATTCATCATACTCAAAAGTTAAGGACTAAAGCATTTAACAGAAAGGAAAAAGTAATTTTTTCCTACCTTTTTTAGACATACATAAATTTCTTAAGGTGCAAACACTTTTAAAATGATACACTATCTTACAAACATGAACTTGATCTATGATGGCTATCAACTCTGAAAAAGAAGATGCTCAAACATAAAGTTGTGTGAGCGCAGATGTGTGCATTCTGTTCCTGGGCTCCTGCTATGGTGACCAGAGTTCCTGTCCCAGATGCTGCTGCATATCCAAGGTGAGATGTTCCCTTACTACGATCTCAGTGTTGAGTTTCATACATTTTTATATCCAAGGAATAACAATTAGTATTAGTCCTTATCTATGGGAAGAGTTATACTAATATATAGCTGATAAAACTTTTAACTATCTGTAACCAAAAACAAACAAACCACCACCACCACCAAAAACCAAAACCAAAATAAAAAAGGAACAGCATGAATAATTTGAGCCTAGGAAGATTAAAAAAATTTCCTTATGATGATTAATTTTAACCTGTCCTTACTTCTTTCCCAATGTTGCTGATAAACAGAAGAGACTGAAGTTTCTTATGTAAGTGGACATACAGGTTAACATCAAATTTACCAAGTCTTCAAATTTTCCATAGTCCCACCCAGAAGACAGAGCTCCTGTGATTAAAAAGAAGATCTGGAGTAGGTAACAGCTGTCAAAACTCACGCAGACACTTCCAAGGTCTGTGGAAGGTCAAGTCCAATACTGTTCCAGAAACTTGAGTTTTACCATGTAGGTTTGGTTCTTGAGGCTTCCCATTTTCAAACTGATAGCTTTTGAGTCATTTAGCAGTCCTCAGGTGCCACTGTAATGTGCAGTTTCATGGAGCTTCCTGACAATGGCTTGTATTTCTGAGCAAGTGGTATTAGGACTACTCTGTTTTGTTTTTAAAAGGCAGTTTGGTGTGAAGTCCACTTTAGGCAGAAATCCATCAAAACAATGAAAGGAAAAAGAAAAATGCTGATGCCGAGGAGGCTTACCCAGAAGAGACCCTTCCTAAAATCACATACAAAAAGCTCCTACTCAGATTTACTGGACAGGCAGACACAGGGTTTCCTAGAACTTACTGGAAAGAATCTAAAATGCAAAATGTCTTTTAATATTGTGAAATACTTTGTCTTTCTTATTTTCTTGGTAACTCCGACTCCTGAGGCTGGGGGTGGGGTGGGGTGGGTGCATTTCTTCACCTTTCTCCATTAGCTTGCATTTATCTTCCTCTAACTCTAAACGGTCATATTTGTTAGAAAATTAAAAACTCTGAGCAAGGGATGGGAGCTGCAAAACAAGAAAACTACTGGGCTGGCATGAAGACTCAACTGGCTAATGCTCACCTTGAATGCACCAGGATGCCATATGGGTGCTGGTTTATGTGCCAGCTGCTATACTTCCCAACCAGCTCCCTGCTTGTGGCCCGGGAAAGCAGTAGAGGATGGCTCAAAGCCTTGGGACCCTGCACCCATGTGGGAGACACGAAAGAAGTTCCTGGCTCCTGGCTTTGGATCGGCTCAGCTCCAGCAGTTGCGGCCACTCAGGGAGTGAACCAGCAGACAGGAGATCTTTCTTTTTGTATCTTCTTCTCTCTATAAATCTGCCTTTTCAATTAAAATAAAAATCTTAAAAAAAAGGGGGGGAAACAATTACCAGTTTCTTCTACAAAAGGTCCCAGGGCTAATTTTGATTGTCAGCGACAAGAAAAGGAATCAGAATAAGCCTGGCAGAAAAAGCTCTGGTTTAGTGCTTCAACTGCAATGAACCTCTCGTGAAAACCGTTCATTAGACCTGAACCCTAAAGCTAATAAGTAAAAAAAAACAATTTATAATCTGAACCCAAAAACAGAGAGTACAGAATTAATTGCTCTGGTAGGTCAGAAATCTCAGGGAGCACTCTTGTGTCAACAGGGAAGGGATGAAGAAATGAAAGCAGAAAAGGAATTCAGAGCTAGGTTTGACTTCATTATTGTACTCAGAAACTAGGCAAGAAATGCTTCTCTCTAGGGCCTGCAAAACCAAAGGTCCCAGAATGTGACACTCCTACCAATCCACCACATCACATTTACAACAGGAGAAGGTGGCAGAACACAGAAGGAAGTGAATAGGGACTCGCCTGTATATAAGTAAATAGATTTTAATTTCCTTCTTTGGCATGAAAACTCTACTGGTTATAATCAAATTGCCTTAAAAATCTGACTGTGGATCGTGGATCATGGATAACAACTCCGAATCAGGAATAAGTTTCTAGTGTTACACAGCATGAAGGACTGATTGCTGTTCCTATAACCTATGTTATAGTTTATGAGCAATACAAGAGAGGAACTCCAGGGATGCAATCCTGAAGCAGTAACAAAGAGGGGATATGCTAACCACACTGAGCTGATCAGAACACAATGAATATATATGCTGAACTTGTCACATACCATACGCCATAAATATACATAATTACTGTTTATAATTTTTTTACATAAAAATATGTAGTGAACTAAAATGATGGACAAATCAACTTTCATTTAGTAAACACAGGTCGTTTAACAGTCAACCTTGTGTAAAAACAGGAATAAAGAAATTGGAGATGGTGCACATTTGGCACAGGGGGCAAGACCTGGCCTGAGAAGCTAGCCTTCCATCCTGGAGTGTTGGTCTGAATCCTGCTCCATCTGACTACAGCTTCCTGCCAGGACAAGCACTGAGAGGCAGACGCTGGCGCAAAGATCTGGGATCCCAGCACTCACCAAGACCAGACTGAGCTCTCTCAAGCTTAGGTCTGGGGCAGGCCTGGCTGTGGGTAGATTCTGGGGAGTGTGACGGCAGATGGGAGAACTCTGTCTCTTCCTCTCTCTCAGCCTTTCAAATAAAAGTAAATTAATTTTGAGATTAGTTTTTCTCTTTCTTAGGATATTAACCTTACAAATAATCAAAATGACAAATGTTACAAACACTTCTTTCCCTTGTTGACTCATAAAAGGATATTAAATCTCTAGGGGCTCTGTGTTCAAGTGTCAGATGAGCTGCAAAGTCATCTGTGACATGATTAGGATCGCCTCCAGGTAACGCTGCACATATTGGACAAATCTGAAACGAAAGGTATACAGAGCAAGTTTAGTAAACAGACATCCTTCTGGATCAGTATTTTCCTACAAGTTTTACTATTATCAAATTCTAACTAGGCAAAGACACAGCAGATCCTGAACTGGTAGAAAGGAGCACAGGCTTCAGGAAGAACTGCAGCACATCAATTCTGTCACTTGAGAATGAAAAATGTCTCTCGGGGTCAGATAAACAAATCTAGGCAAAAAGGTCAAACTCTGATCTCTGGCAAGGCCTTCTAACAGCCTACATTGTAATGGAAAAAGTTGTCATCACAAATTTAGAGGAGCAGGTATTTGGCACAGCATTTGCCACTTGGGATTCCTGTATTCCATACTGGTGTCTTCATTAAGAGGTCCAGCCCCTCCACTTCTGATCCAGCTTCCTGCTGATGTGCACTCTAGGAGGCAGCAGATGATGGCTCAAGCACTTCTTTGATCCCTGTCGCTTTGCCATCTATGTAGGAGATATGGACTGAACTCTGGGGTCCTGGCTTCAGCTTGGCCCAGCCCTGGCTGTTCTTGGCTTTTGGGAGTGAATCAGTAGGTGGAAGATCTCTCTCTTTCACATAAAAAGAAAAATAAAAATTTAAAATGAATTTGAGGATTTTTTACTTAGTGCACCTTTATGTCTTGAATGCTGTAAAGACAGAAGTCTGTGGCATATTTCTTCAAAATAGCATTAAGGGATAGCAGAAGTCTGATTACAATGCAATCATGCAACTTACAGGCAGGGAATATTACAAGATAGGACAGAAAATAACTACTAGTAATATGCAAATATGTTCCATAAATCAAAGAATGGGACTTCCAAAAGAATGAGGAAGGCAGGAGGGTGTGGCCAGTTGAAGTTCTAAGAGGAAAAATGTACTTCCCTGTAGTCCTTATAGCAAGAGACATAAGAAGAAAATAGGAATAAAACAGAATGCACAACTGGCAGATTTCAAGGAAAGACTTTATAGTTGACAGAAATTAGTGAAATGGGAGCAGAAAGAGGTAAAAACAGAAAGAGCAACATTAACAGGGTAGGCCATTACTCTATCAGAAATCCAAATGGGCAGATGATGGTCTAAGATTTTTTTTAAAGATTTATTCATATACTTGTTTATATTGGAAAGGCAGATTTTACAAAGAGGGGAGACAGAGAGGAAGATCTTCCATCCACTAATTCACTATCCAAGTGGCCACAACAGCTGGAGCTGAGCCAATCCGAGGCCAGGCACTTCTTTTGGGTCCCCCATGTGGGTGCAGGATCCCAAGGCTTTGGACCTCCTCTACTGCTTTCCCAGGCCATAAGCAGGGAGCTGGATGGGAAGTGCAGAAGTTGGGACTTGAACTGGTGTCACTGGTGTCCATGTGGGATTTTGACACTTGCAAGGGCAGAATTACCCAACTAAGCCACTGTGCTGGACCAATGGTGTTAAGAATTTTAAGTGTAAAGAATTTGAATCTTAAGGAACAGGGCCAAAAAGAGAGGTCTGATGCAAAGGGGCATGGTCAATGGGGATTGCAGGCTTGTGTCTCACCATGGGTAAGGGGGTTAAAGATAGGATTATATAATTCACCTAGCCAGCATATGAACTATGTGTAAAATTTAAGCAATCAGTTGGCTTCTTTATCATCACAGCACAAGGGCAAAAAGCGTTAAGAGATGAGGAAGCTTGGATAAGGTGAGATTTAGGAGGACAATTTAACCTTAGATAAGTTTGAATATTAAAAAAATATTTATTTTTTTAATTGGAAAATCAGATTTACAGAAAGCAGAGACAGAGATTTTCATCTGCTGGTTCACTCCAGAGGTAGTAGCAACAGAGTGAACTCCAATCCGAAACCAGGAACCAAAGCTTCTTCCAGGTCCCTCACGTGGGTACAGGGTCCCAAGGCTTTGTTTGGGCGGTCCTCTACTGCTTTTCTAGGCCACAAACAGGGAGCTGAAAGGGAAGTGGAGCAGCCAGGACATGAACTGGCGCCCACATGGGATCCTGGTTCATGCAAGGTGAGGACTTTAGCCAGTAGGTTACTGTGCTGGGCCCTGAATATAATTCTTTTGAAATTCTTATCGGAGAGATACAGATACTTTCCATCTGTTGGTTTATAGCCCCAAATATTTGCAACATCCAGAGCTGGGTTAAGGCCAAAGCTGAGAGCTAGCAGCTAAAACCAAGTCTCCCACATTGGTGGCAGAAACCTAATTACTTCCATTATTACCACTGTCTTGTGAGATCTACACTGGCAGGAAGCTGAAGTTAGGACCCACAGCCAGGTATCAAACCCAGGTACTCTGATAAGGAGCATGCATGTGTTAATTGCTAGGCCAAATGCCAGAACCTCTTCACTTCATTTATTTCAAAGGCAGTGAGAAAGGAGAAAGAGAAAGAAGGAGGGATGGAGGGAGAAGGAAAGGGAGGCAAGAGGCAGAGGGAGAGAGATTTTCCAACCCCGGGCAACAGGAAGTAGGGTCAAGCCCAAACCAGGAGCCATGAGCCAGAAGCTTCTTTCCTGTGTCTCATGTGGTTACAAGGACCCAAACACTTGGACCAGCCTCTTCATTCTCCCAAGCACATTAGCAGAGAGCTGGATCGGGAGTGGAGCAGCCAGGACTTGAACCACTGCTGTTATGGAATGCCAGGTGCCACAGGCAGTAGCTTTTACTGGCTATGTCAGCACCAACACCCTCCCCTCCAATCTTAATTTTTTTTTTTTTTTAAAGATTTATTTTTTTATTATTTTTTCATTGGAAAGGCGGATATACAGAGAGGAGAGACAGAGAGGAAGATCTTCCGTCCGATGGTTCACTCCCCAAGTGAGCGCAACGGGCGATACTATGCCGATCCGAAGCCAGGAGCCTCTTCCGGGTCTCCCACGCGGGTGCAGGTTCCCAAAGCTTTGGGCCGTCCTCGACTGCTTTCCCAGGCCACAAGCAGGGAGCTGGAAGGGAAGCGGGGCTGCCGGGATTAGAACCGGCGCCCATATGGGATCCCGGGGGTGCAAGGCGAGGACCTTTAACCACTTGCGCCACCGCGCCGGGCCCCAATCTTAATTTTTAAAGAATTTATTTTCAGGGCCCGGTGGTATGGTCTAGTGGCTGAAGTCCTCGCCTTGAATGCCCCGGGATCCCATATGGGCGCCGGTTCTAATCCTGGCAGCTCCACTTCCCATCCAGCTCCCTGCTTGTGGCCTGGGAAAGCAGTCGAGGATGGCCCAAAGTCTTGGGACCCTGCATCCGTGTGGGATACCTGGAAGAGGTTCCTGGATCCTGGCTTTGGATCGGCATAGCATCGGCCATTGTGCTCACTTGGGGGTGAATCATCAGACGGAAGATCTTCCTCTCTGTCTCCTCCTCTCTGTATATCTGACTTTCCAATAAATAAATAAATCTTAAAAGAATTTATTTTAAAATGAGAATGTGCACATAGGAACAACACTAGCACATGGTTCACTCCCCAAATGCCCACAAGAAGTTTGGGATGGGCCAAACTAAAGCTGGGTCTATTGGGAACGGAATTTAGATGGCAGAGATCCAAATACTTCAGCTACCCCCTGTTGCCTCCCAAGATGCACATTAGCAGAGCTAGAGTCAGGAGCTAAGCTGGGACTTCGTACTTTCACTACACAATGTGAACTTCCCAACCACGGTGCCAAACACTCACCACACTGATAATATTTTAAAATAATATTTCTCATTCTAGTTTCCTTTTTTGTGACTTATTTGAGTTAACCACGGCTCTGGGCCCAGCTACAAAGCTTTAAATAAGAGTATGCTTACTCTCAAACTTACACTTGATGTTTATGTACAGATTCCTGAGACAGTACTCACTTTATTCCTTACTAAATTTCAGTATACATTTTATGTCAGATGCTGTTGGTGTCACAGTATCTGGTGTTGAAGGGTTCTCCATAGTTTCAACATTAAGCTCTAACAATAAACTTTAAGAATGCAAACAAACGTTGTGCTGGACCATTGTGTTTCCAGATAGAAAATGAGGCAGGAAAACTCAGAAAGGACTATGAAACTGTTTTAACGTCTACTCTTCAACAGATAATAGTTATCTGTAGTTTTACATTTTGTTGCCCCTGAACATGTTCCAAAGGCATGCTGTTTAAAGCGGTGAGATTTTTAAGCCCTATAGGAAAGTGCAAATTAACAGTCAAAGGGCACATGCAGGAAACACAGGTGGACAGGTTGGCAAAGCAAGACAGCAAATTGGGCATTTAGAAAGGAATATGTTAAGAACAACAGACAAGAAGACACAGCAAGTTGTTATGTGAATATAGTCTTTCACCAAAGTGACAGACGTCGCTCTTGAACTCCATAAAAAAAAGCTTGACTCAACACAGTTGGAGAACTACTGCAGTAGTTGAACACCGACACATAACTAAGTATAAGAAAGTTGGTAACATGCTACATAGAAGTGTATTACAAAACGTTTGTGGGAAATAGTGGGTGTGATGGACATTTGGCATAGTATTTAGGCACATTCAGTCACCCACATTCCCTAGTTAGGGTGACTGAGTCTGCATTCCAGTTCTGCTTCCTGGTCATGTGTGTCCTGGGAGGCAGCAGGTGATGGTTCAAGTACTGGCAGCTCTGCTACCCACACGAAGAGCTGACCATGTTTCTAGCTCCATGCTTTAGCTTGGCCCTGCCCTGGTCACTGTAGAGTGTTATCAGCAGATGGGCGATTTCTTACTGTATCTCTCTGCCTTCAAAATAAGATAGAAAAACTATACATATTACACAGTTTCCACAAATTCTGTGAAATATTCACATATACAAACAGGCATTAGAAACAACTGGTGCAGCACAGGTACCAATCCTCCATCATAGACAGCAGTCAGTACAGCACACTGTGTAGAGTGTGCACACAGCAGAGCGCAGCTCTACCTTGAACATCTATGTGACTCAAAGATGAAAAATCCCAGTAGTCCTGTATGTTTGTTCTTTTTCATATTGAAATGTCTAGGTGTATAACTGGTGCAAACAGGTGGATGCGGGTATTAACAAAAGACAAGGCTAACAAAGATGGCAAGATTCTTAAACTATTCCACAAATCCTGGGTGAATGCCTCAGGCTTTAAGGCAGGCATGTAAATGAATGCAACTTACAGCAGATGGACCAGAAAACCGCTTGGACGTGGCAAGCCATTAATGTCCACCCTCTGTATCAGATACTGAGCAATGTAGAAAAACTATGACATTTATTTTCATGAGAGAAAAAAAAAAATAAGGCAAGGCTGCTAGGTTTGGATTCCTATTTTCTAAAATTAAGTAATTTTGGGCAGGCATTGTAACACTACAGGTTAAGCTGGTAGTTGAAATGTGTGCAATCCCTGTCAGAAAAAAAGATTTTTTGTTTTAAAGACAGAGTGACAAGAGTAAGAGTGAAATTTTCCATTTGTTGGTGGTTCACTTCTCAAACAGCTGCAACGGGGCTGGTGCTGGGCTAGGCCTAAGGGATGAAGAACTCCATTTCAGGTCATGTGAGAGGGTGGAGGAGGAGGAAGGGAAGGAGAGGGAGAGACAGAGAGGGATCTTCTATCCACTGGTTTACTCCCAAAAATGGGTCCAAAAGCCAGGGCAGGGCCAAGCTCAAACCGGGGCCAGGAACTCTATTCCACGTGTCCCTAGTGTGGTAGCAAGAACTTGAGTACTTAAGCCATCACTGGCTGCTTCCCAGGCACAGCAACAGAGCACTAGATCAGAAGAGGGACAGCTGGGGTCAAATTGGCACTCAGTGTAGGATGCAGGTATTCCATGCAGCAGCTCAGTCTGCTGTATCACAAACCCTGTTGTGGCTACTCTTATGATCCAGCTTCCTATTAATATATGCTGAGAGGCAGCAAAGGAGTTTCAGGCCCTTGGCTTTGGACTAGTCCACCCCTAGCTGTGATGGGCATTTAGGGAATGAATCTACAGATGGAAGATCTCTGCTGCTTTGCCTTTCAAGTAAACGAAAATAAAGAAAGACTCTGTCTTAAAAGCATGTGTGTGCACCCATATACACAAGAACATGCTTTTAATTTATAGACTAAAATCATCACTGGATTCTCTAATTCTGTATGTGAAAATCTGTTTTGTCTCAACAGGATAAAGGATGAAACTATGGCCTACTGGCAAATAACAAAAAAAAAATTATTTTTTTGGGTTAAATTATTTATTTGAAAAGCAGTATGTAGAGTCAGGGGGAGGGACAGATATCTTGCACCTGCTGGTTCACTTCCAAAAAGGCTCCAACAGCCCATCCGGCCAAGGCTGAATCAGAAGCTATGAACTCCATCTGGGTATTGCACCTGGGTGGAAAATACTCTGCTACCTGCCCAGGCATATCAGCAGGAAGCTGGATCCCAAGCGAAGCATCCAGAACTTAAATCACTACTAACAGTTAGGATGTTGGAAATTGCTTGATCTTGGTACACTACAATGCCACCCCCAGCAAACAACGATTTTAAGAATGTTTAACTAGGGCTCAGCATGGTAGGCTAGTGCCAAAGTTCTCACCTTGCACACACTGGGATCCCCATATGGGTGCTGGTTCTAATCCTGGCTGTTCCACTTCCAATCCAGCTCCCTGCTTGTGGCCTGGGAAAGCATTATAGGACAGCCCTAAGTTTTGGGAACCTGCACCTGCATGGGAAGAGGCTCCGGGCTCCTGGCTTCAGATAAATGCAGCTCCGGCCACTGTGGCCACTCGGGGAGTAAACCAGTGGATGGAAGATCTTCCTCTTTGTCTCTCCTCTCTCTGTATCTGACTTTCCAATCAATCAATCAATCAATCAATCATCAAGAATGTTTAATTCATGACAAGGGAAATTTCTTCCTCCACCCTTTGCTGTACCTTCATCTAAGCAAAAGAAGCACCCAAACTTAACACAAATCAAATCAAAGATAATGTAAGCTCTAAAACAACCAGACAATGCTGCAATTAAGGCAGGATATATGGGGACTGTAGTAAAAGGAGGTAGTCACTTTATAGAATACAAAAAAAGAACTAAGAACAGTCGCACACATGACAGTGGCTTTCTGAGGCTTTCTTGGGTTTAAGATGACAGTACTGCTGGGGCTGGCACACTGCCTGAGGTGCCAGCATCCTACATGGGTGATGGTATAGACACAGAAGATGCTCCTGGCTCCTGGCTTTGCATTGGCTCTGCTCTGGAAGTTGAGGCAACTTGGGGAATGAACCAGTGGATGAAGATCTTTTTCTTGGTCTTGCCTTCTCTCTGTAAAATCTGCCTTTCCAATAAACATAAATAGGACCCAGTGCAATGGCTCAGTGGCTAAGTCCTCATCTTGGAAATGCCCGTTTGAGTCCTCGCTGCTCACGTCTCATCCGGCTCCCTGCCTGTGGCCTGGGAAAGCAGCCAAGGATGGCCCAAAGCCTTGGCACCCTGTACCCATGTGGGAGACCTAGAAGAGGCTCCTGGCTTCATATTGGCTCAGTTCTGGCCATTGTGGCTTCTTGGGAAGAGACAGTCTGTCTCATCTTTCTGTATTTCTGCCTTTCCAATAAAAATAAATCTGGGAATACTACTCAGCTATTAAAAAAAACAAAATGCAGTTCTTTGTGGCTAAATGGGCACAACTGGAAACTATAATGCTAAGGGAAATGAGCGAGTCCCAAAAGATTAGATACCACATGTTTGCCTTGATTTAACCTGTAATTTTTTGTTTGGTTGTTTGTTATTTTTTGAACCTGTCATTGATACTGTCTCAACCCAGATGTTTCGAAGAATGGAACTTGCATTATTTTTAACATATTGTTTACCCAATACTATGTCAATTAATTCCATAATGTTGCATATTGATACTGAGGCCTTGTTGGGGCTTTTAACTGACCGGATCTTTACTCTGTTAGACCTATCTTCAGACCATAGAAGGTCTCCCCAAGAGGCCACTGAACTTATCTGGACAATAAGACGCTGAACTTTATGCTAGGCATGTGTTTGCAAGCAATGAATCTCAACTGAACTTGAACTATGGTTATGCAACAAGGTGGAGGAATCCACCATGGGGGGAGGGGTATGGGAGGGGTGGGGGGAATCCCCAGTGCCTATAAAACTGTACTACATAATACAATGTAAGCAACAATAAAAAAAAAAAAATCTGTAAAAAATTATTTTTAAAAACGAGCATCCCTGAGCTATTAGTAAAATCTGGCTTAAAAATATATATAACAGTTTCCCAACTGTTGGAAACTTTATATAACAATGTAAGCACCACACTAGCAGTGCCAGTGGAAATAAAGGGGTACTTACATTATTTACGACCACAAAAGCAGATATGCAGTAAAGTTCAGGAGAGACTCTAGAATTCAGAGGCAGTTTAGACACCTGCTGTTACCAATTAGCAAGTTGTATGCCCTTGAACACGAGGCTGCTTTATTTTCCTGGTTTTAAGTAATGCATTTTTAGTACATTTAGGGGATTATTAATTGACACATATAAAACTGTTTTGTGTCAAAATGTTCCAAATTCATTACCTATAGTTCCATACAGAATCTTCACTTTACCTAATATTACCAATGGTTAAAGAGGTAAGAGGTAGGAGGGAGACTCTTCTTTTTTTTTTTTTTAAGACTTATTATCTTTTTTAAGATTTTTAAATTTTTTATTATTTTTTCATTGGAAAGGCGGATATACAGAGAGGAGAGACAGAGAGGAAGATCTTCCGTCCGATGATTCACTCCCCAAGTGAGCGCAACGGTCGATGCTATGCCGGTCCCGAAGCCAGGAGCCTCTTCCTGGTCTCCCACGCGGGTGCAGGGTCCCAAAGCTTTGGGCTGTCCTCGACTGCTTTCCCGGGCCACAGGCAGGGAGCTGGAAGGGAAGCGGGGCTGCCGGGATAGAACCGGCACCCATATGGGATCCCGGGCGTGCAAGGTGAGGATCTTAACCACTGCGCCACCATGCCGGGCCCGGGAGACTCTTCTGATTTTAGTATTTCTTGAAGTTGGATGCCTGCTGACTCAGTTGGCAAGCAAACAATCCAAAAAGTTTTAGAGCAAGACTGTGCATTATTCTGGATCCTTGGCATTTAGCCACTGGATAAGATCAGGGAAGGAAGAACTTCAGGGGACCTTAGGGTCTTGATCTAAGAAGCAAGAGATCTGACTTGATAAAGACCAAGAAAGGTCAAGTGTAGCAATGGATTACTACTTCAACATGTGACCAAAAGTTAAAAAAAAATTTTACAGAAGAAAAATCAAGCAGGCAGCACTGGCAAGAATATAATAAAAAAGAGGTGTACTATAGCTATGTCCCTTAACCTTTTAATAATGCATTTAATAAAGAGTTTCAAATTTGTTCAAGATTCCATTCTATGCTTTTAGTCACAGGGCAAAAAAAAGCTGGTGGGGTCAAATAAAGAGCTTTCTCTCATACTAATGCAGCCTCCATGGACTGTAATATTTACTATTTAATATCATTTCAACAAAGATACTGCAAACAGTATCAGTATACTGAGAAGACATATGGTAGTGATTTAGTTTGGTTAATGTTAGTAATAATGTACTGACAACAGCATTTCAGACACAAGGCTGCTCCACTTACCACTTCTGTTGATGTTTCTGCATGTTCAGAAGTAACATGTTCTTGAAGAGATGTCTCCGTATAGCCCATTTTTCCACAATAGGGACAAGTAAAAGACTGCGGTTGCTCTACAGAGAAAGCTTCCCCACCATAGTACAAATCTGAAAAACAAAGTGCAAATGCTTTGAGAAATATTTTCAGTTCTTATAAAAATGTAGTAATATGATGCAATAATGTCAAGAAAAAGGCATGCCTGAAAAACCTGCCAATAACTCCACTATCAAAGAGTGCTTAGGCATCTGTTTACATTTGTAATATTTTTTTTCTAAATATTTTTTTTTTTTTGGAAAGGCAGATATAGAGAAAAGGAAAGAAAGATCTTCCATCTATTGGTTCACTTCTCAAGTGGCTGCAACAGCCAGAGCTGAACCAATCTGAAGCCAAGAGACAGGAGCTTCTTCCAGGTCTCCCCCATGGGTGAACGGTCCCAAGGCTTTGGGTCATCCTTGACTGCTTTCCCAGGCTACAGGCAGGAAGCTGGATGGGAAGTGGAGCAGCCAGCATTAGAACCTGCCCATGCGGGATCCTGGCATGTGCCAGGCAAGGATTTTAGCCACTAGGTCACCAAAGTTAATTTCCCAGATAGTTGCTATGGCCTTGAGAGAAAACAAAAACAATTGTCTTTTCCTTATTTAATTGTGAAGCATCACTTATTTCATGTCTTGTCTGGCTCTAATTTTATCATAATTTACTTTTTCCTGATTATATTGTGTATACTGTCATTAACACAAAAGAATCAGCAGAGTGTGCCACGCATAAGGAAACAAATGTTCAGAGGGAATAGATGAACAAAGTAAGAGGATTCTTGCTAACTTGGTTTTTTTAAAAGGCTTATTTTACTTTTATTGAAAAGGCAGATTTACAGAGAAGGAAAGAGAGAGAAAAAAGATTATTCTGTTGGCTCACTTCCCAGGTGAGCCATAACCGCTGGAGCTGAGCCAATCCAAAGGCAGGAGCCAGGAGCTTTCTCTGGGTCTCTCATATGGGTACAAGATCCCAAAACTTTGGTCCAGCCTCTAATGCTTTCCTGGGTTACCAGCAGGGAGCTGGTGTGGAGCAGTTGGGACATGAACTGGTACTTATATGGGATCTCTGTTGCATGCAAGGTGAGGATTTAGCCACTGAACCATTGCAATGGGGTGGGTCCTTTGCGAACTTTGATGAGATACTACCATTACACACTCTGCCCAACTAGGAAATTAAAGAAGCAACCAGTTAAAAGATAGCAAAGGAAAAAATATTTAGGAATATATTCAAGAAAATGAATACAAAACTTACATTCTCTCAAAAAAATTCAAAGAACATGTCAATAAATGGAACAATATTCCATGTAAATGCAACTATTGATAGTGATGTTTTCCAAACTTATACACAGATTCAACATAATCCTTATAAAAATCCTAGTGGGCTTTTTCATGGAGATTGAGAAACTGATCCTAGAATTAATATATACTCAAGCAACTTGTAAATACCCAAAATAATCATGAGGAAGAACACAGCAGGGATACAGATGCTTCTTACCTTCAAAACTTACTACAAAGCCACAGGAATCAAGGCAGTCTAGTACTGGCTGAAGACAGAGATACAGATCAGTAGAACTGATTCAGGGTCCAAAATTATACTTTAACTTATGGTCAGCTTTTTTTTTTCAACAAGCGCCATGCCAATTCATTGCATGAGAAATAATCTTTTAACAAATATGTAAATGTGCAAAAGAATGAAGCCAGTCCTCTACCTCATTCCATATATAAAAATTATTGTTATTATTTGGTTCTAGCTTACCATCATTGTTTGCATTTTATTTTCAGTAAACAGAGGTGCATCTTGGAGTAAAAGTTAAAAAAAAAAGTCACTGGCTATTCCTTCTCCAAGTCTACCTAACACTAGCCTACCACACACCCCGGTCACCTTCGAGTCTTGTTCATTATCAATCAAGGCTACTTAACCTCATGATTCTTCAGTTTCTACTTGTAAGACTAAAAATTGTCAGGCCTGGCCAGAAGAAAACTCTAAGCGGCTACTCAGACCCACTGCCCTCACTACTTCTGGTGAATGGGCTGCTGCTCTTCCTACTCCTGCAATCTGCTTTACCGCAGCAAGGCAAAGAGGTGGGTAGAGAGGAGGTGGACACAAGCAACAAAACAAATGAGTCTGGTTAATTTTACCACCTATTTAGGTCACACCAACAGGCAAATTGCTACTCTGTGGCCCAAGAAAGTGCTACGGTCAGCTAAGAGACTCCATGAGTGAAGTTTCACCTCCTATCTCCCATCAGTTCAAGCCCGGACTTGAGGCAGTTGTACATGGCTTATTAATATATATTTCAGAAAAGATGTGTTGAGAGATAGACAGACAGACATACCTTTCATCTGCTGTTTCACTCTCCAAATGGTTGCAACTGCTAAAATGAGCTAGGTAGAAGTCAGAGGTCAGAAGCTTCATCTGGGTCTCTCATGTGGGCATAGGATCCCAAGAACTTGGGCCATGTACCATTGCTTTCTCAGGTGCATTAGCAGAAAGCTGGACTGGAGGTGGAGCACTTGGGAGTGGAATGAATTCCCAAATGAGATACCTACACTGCAGGTGGCAATGCCACAGTACTGTTCCCTAGAAATAAAGTCTAACTGGAACAAGATCTAAATAAATGCTAAAACCATAAAAAGCTTAGAGTAACATATAGGCTTAATTAATGAATTAGGCAGCGGTTTTCTATTCATTATACTCAAAATCACAAAAATGGAGAACACAGCTAAATTCAACATTTTTGGACCCAGTATTGTGTTGTAACACATTAAATCACTGCTTGCAATACTAGTATTCAATGTCAGAGTTCAAGTTCAAGTTCTAGCTATTCTTCCGGCTAATGGGATGGGTATGCAGGGAAAAAATGCTCAAGTGAGACCTTGCCACTCTGAAGAGTTCTAAGTTCTTTGGCTTTGATTTGGCACAGCCCAAGCTGTTATCGTCATCTGGGGAATGAACCAGCACATGCAAGCTCTCCCTGCCTTTCAAACAAATCAAGCAAACATAAATAAAACTCAGCATTATCAAACTTAAAACCTCCTGTGTTTTAAAGTATACAATCTAAAACACGAATAATCCACAGTATGAGAGAAAAATTTTATAAATCATCTGATATCTCTCTGATAAATAACTTATATGGAAAACAAAGAATGATTACAATTTAATAATTAAGATGCCTTATCCATCTAAAAAGTGGGCAAGAGATCTAAACAGACATTTCCATAGAGCAGAAATACAGATGACTAACAAACACAGGAAAGATGCTTACATCACTGGTTACCAAAGGTTTGCATATCAAAATTCCTCAAGATTCCATTTCTCACCCTACTAGCATGGCTATCATCAAAAAGATTGTGACAAACGCCAGCTAGCTAAGGAATGACAGCAGTGGAGGTCTTTCCTCCCTTGGAGCCCCCTCCTGTCACTATGGCAGAAGACTTTCTCAAATAAATCTTGTTTTGCACACTGAGGAAAGAAAGATGACAGCATGAAATGCAGATCTTACAGTTTGATTGTATTTGTTCTTTACTGAAGCAATGTTCTATTTATCAGTTGTATATATGTTGGGACGGTTTTCATAAACAAGTGAATTATGATGGGTCAGAGTTTCTTAGAAGATAAAAGCAAAATCTGCTTTTCTTACTTATTTTTCTTTTATTTTTTTAAAAGATTTATTTGTTTTTATTGCAAAGTCAGATATATAGAGAGGAGACACAGAGAGGAAGATCTTCTGTCTGATGAGTCACTCTCTAAGTGACCACAATGGCAGGTGCTATGCTAATCTGAAGCCAGGAGCCAGGAACTTCCTCCAGTTCTTCCATGTGAGTGCAACGTCCCAAGGCTTTGGGCTGTTCTTGACTGCTTTCTCAGGACACAGGCAGAGAGCTGGATGAGAAATGGAGCTGCCGGAATTAGAACCAGCATCCATATGGGATCCCGGCGTGTTCAAGGCAAGGACTTAAGCCTCTAGGCCACCACGACAGGCCCTATTTTTAATTTTTAAAAAGGATCTATTTATTGGGCCTGACACCATGGCTCAATTATCTAGTCCTCGCATTTCAAGTGCTGGAATCCCATACTGGTGCCAGTTAGCATCCTGGCTGCTCCACTTCCCATCCAGCTCCCTGCCTGTAGCTGGGGAAGGTAGTGGAGGATGGCCCAAGGCCTTGGGACCTCGCATTCACGTGGAAGACCTGGAGAAAGCTCCTGGCTCCTGGTTTTGGATTGGATCAATTCTGGCTGTTGCATAATTGTTGCACTTGGGGAATGAACTAGCAGAGGGAAGATCTCCCTCTCTCTCTGTCTCTCCTTCTATCTGTAAATCTGCCTTTCCAACAAAAAATAAATAAATTCCATCCACTGGTTCACTCCCTAAGTGGCCACAATTCCCAGAGCCGAGATGATCCGAAGCCAAGAGCCAGGAGCTTCATATGAATTTCAAGCTTGGGTGTGGGGGCTCAAGTACTTGAACCATCCTCTACTGCTTTCCCAGGTAGTAAGCAAGGAGCTACACTGGAAGTGAAGCAGCTGTGACACAAACCAGTGCCCATATGGGATGCTAATGCTGCAATCATAAGATTAGTTTGCTAGGCCACCATGCTAATCCCAGTTCATTTTATTTTTAATAAATTCTGGACTTTACATATGCCATTGGGAAGTTTTAGAATAGCTGTCTTTACTACTTCACTCAGATATACACACAATATTTTGAATGTCAATTTATTAAAAATTTCCTCTAATACTTACCAAAATCTACCCTTGTTAATATGCACTGCATTGGGTGGTCAGTTGTATGCCTTGTTGTCGTTGCACCACTTTCATAACAAGATGCACAAAGATCGTAATCGTAGCAAATTAAACACTTGTATCTGCGACCTCGAAAATTTCCTTTTAAACATGCATCACAGCTGACACCTAAGAAAAAAGAAGTGCCTTTAATTAGAAACTGTAAAAAAGACCACTCTCATTTCATTTCATTTCTGTAAATGTTTAAGATGCTCAATTAACCCCATATCCTTAAAATTTTTTTATTTTAGAGATTTTTATTGGAAAGGCAGATTTATAGATAGAGAAGAAGATACAGAGAGAAAGATCTTCCAAACCCTGTTCACCTTCCAAATAGTCAGAGCTGAGCTGAACTGGAGCTTGGAGTCTCTTCTGGGTCTCTCACGTATGTGCAGGGTCCCATGTGGAGCAACCAGGACAGGAACTGGTGTCCATGGGATCCTGGCTCTTGTAAGGTGAGGATTTAGCCATTGAGCCATCGCACTGGGCCCCCGACAGCAGATTTGTTAAATAAAGCTTTTATTTTGTAGCCTCAGAATTGGATTCTGTATTCACACTCATTAACTTCTATGTAGTCATTGAGTTTCTAAGTATTCACAGATGACTTCTCCCAATCAGAGCACACGGTCTCTATATGCCAGAAACTCACAGGGGGGTGAAGACTGAACAATTTACTGGGCAGTGGCATCAGAGTCTATAAGCCATTCAGAACACTTACAGTGTGCAGATAACAGCAGGCAACTTCTGGCCTCCAAAGACAGCATTAACATGCATTTGTAAGAGAAGAATGCCATTTCAAACAACTCAGGGATGAGACATTTACAATGGGATTTCCCATTCCCTTGGAACTTCTGGGACTAATTGTATCTAAGCAAGCACCATTCAAGTAATTTTTTTTTAAAAAAAATCACGTGAAAAGTGACAGAAAGATGAAGAAAAAAAATCTTCAAAGTTACCACTTAATGCTATCTGAGCTAGAAATGGCTCCACATGCATGTGTGGTAAAAGTTCCAGTCATGTAGGGCACGTGACAGCTTTTTCTACTTCAATGGAAAAAGATCTGCCCTAGATTTATATTGGGAACACAATTTCCTCAGCCAACTAAATATTCTGAGCATTTACAGCATCCATTTAGTGCTTAAAGCTTAAAAAAGGTAACTCAATACGCATTTAAATACCGCATGGAGACTAGAGGCAGGTTACTATGCTGCTGCAGGGGGCAGAGATAGCATGGGTGGGAGACCAACAGCCTCACACTGACAGCTTCATCCTGAGCAGAGCCTGAAGTACTCCTCTTCAGAACACTAAGTCCCTTTGTTATGTGTTCTCTACACACAGGGCATTCACCCTAAATCCAGCCTCAAAAACCCAACACAGACAAATATTAACTCACTTGCTCCTCTTTTATAGACAAATCAAATTAAAATCTAACAAGTCCTCCAAAGTCCTACCTTCAACTATTAACATCATTTTTCTTTATGTCTGCTCCAATTCCTTCACGGATTTTAAATTGAAGGGACCTACAACAGACATAAAACTGCAGTCAGGACTAGGAATAGCCAAGACAAAACAGAGAATGCTCTGTTTCTATCTGGTTTAGGAGGCATGCCAGCCTACTCTGGGACATTTTAGGTTGAGCTGACATTGGGATATCCAAGTGGAAAGGCACAGTGACCTTTTAGGTTGATAAATTCTTTGGGAGGTGTCCTTTAGAGATCACCTATCTTTGTATCATTAAGGGTGACTTAAGACAATTTGCAAGAGAAAATGGAAATGATTAAACAAAGAAAATGTGGAGGATGGAGAGGGTTTCTATCATCTGGAATCTCAAGGAAATCAAAGTATCCAAGTTTACAAAAAATTAAAACACTGCTTTATTATAAATGTTATTCTTTATTTCTCCATTTATGACTATTTTCGGCCACAGCAGGATACTACACAGAAAACTCAACCAAATGACAACATATAAATAATGACTTTGAAATACAACACTCAAAAAATCAGTTCACTCAAAAACTATTAGAAAAATAATTCGGATCCAGAAATTCTAACAGCAAAGAAACAAATACCAATTCCATCAGCAAGGATCTGAAACCTTTCAGAGCACAAATAGAATCCTGCTTCATTAATATCTGCTTTCCTCATCAAAAGAATGGGGACAAGCATCTGGTGCAGTTGTTAAGATACCATCTGAGACACTGGCATCCCATGCTGGAGTGCCAAGATGCAAGTACCAATTCTGCTGTAGATTCCAGCTTTCTGCCATGTGCTTCCTGGGAAACAGCAGGTGATAATTCAAGTAGTTAGACAACTGGCATCTATGCAGCAGACCTGGAATAAGCGCCTGGTTTCAGCCTGGCTCAACCTGGCTCTAATTATAGTAAGCATTTGGTGAGTGAATCTGTGGACAAAACCAGTCTCATTCAAATGAAGTAAGTACTTAAGAAGAGGGGAGGGAGGCATAGATTTCAATAAAGTGCTTTCTTTGGTTCCTGGCTTCCTACCAGTGCAGACACTGGGAGGTAGTAGGAGCAATGGACCAAGCAACAAGGCACTAGCACACATGCCAGAGCTTGGGATTGAATTCCCTACTCCAGCCTTGACTGCTACTTCTCATAGGGAGGCATCTGGATGGACATATTCTTTGTTGTGTTGCTCAAGTTCTGCTTTTTTTTTTTTTAAAGGCGGGGAGGGGGGGCAGAGAGGAGGAGAGATTGGGGGGACTTTTGAGTACTGGCTCTGGGTCCCAGTTCTAGCTTTCTGCCAGTGAAGATTCTGGGGTTCTGATTATACAATTTGAAGTCTTGGCTCCCAACTTTAGTTCAGTCCAGTGTGGACGTCATCAGTTAAGAGAAACTTTGTCTCTAAAATAATAAAGGAAAACCATGATAATGTCTACCAGGGCCATCTTGCTTCACATTTCAAGTACTGCTAGTGATTATCATCATTTCCTAGCTCCAAGCCCGCTTTTCCATGTTCTGCTCTGCAATGTTGGGCCTAGGAAATGGTTCTCAATTAGAAGCTACTGAGAAGCATCTCTCCATCAGTATTCCTCCAAGTAGCACCATGGCCCCAGTCCAGCCTCTGCAGGAACTCCTCACTAGGCAGCAGTATCCAACTAAGAAGGCAAGGACAAGTTGTATGGAGATGGATGGTGGCCTCTGAGCTCATAAATTTTGCTAATGCCAACTTTCTTTTTTGTAACAGACATGTTCTATATCTGTACTGTCCAGGGTAATAACCATAATTCAAATGCCTTGTCAGCTACAAGGGCCTAGAAGCAGTGAGATCCAGTGGCAACAAGCAATACCAAGAAGGAGTTCCTATCTTGATGTGCAAACAGTATCCTCGCCAACTCCACTAAGAGGAACCAAAGCTCCTTGGAGAAACAGATGGTTCCAGAGGATGGGGCAGGACAAACACATGAACATGTAACATCTAGTTCTAGAACAAACAATCCAGAAATAATAAGGAGAGAATGACAGGATGGAAGGAACTTGAAGGAATTTCTATGGTCAAACCTGAGATAATCTGAGTGGGAAAGTATGTAATGTAACCCATACCTTGTAACTCATTAAATAAGGCAGGAATTCATGACTCCATAACAATATAAATGATAAAGTTTAAAAAGTTAAGTAGAGAGGCCAGTACAGTGGCATAACAAGCTAATTCTTAACCTGTGGTGCTGGCATTTCACATGGGCTCTGGTCTGAGTCCTGCTGCTCCACTTCCAATCCAGCTCCCTGCTAATAGTCTGGGAAAGCAGCAAGGGAAGATCCAAGTCCTTGGGCACCTGTACCCATGTGGGAGAACCAGAAGCTCCTGGCTCTTGATGTTGGATTAGATCAGCTCCAGCTGTTAAAGCCACTTGGGGAGTAAACCAGAGGATGCACTTTTCTGTCTCTCCTTCTCTGTAACTCTGCCTTTCAAATAAAAATAAATAAGTTCATTCAAGAAATCCAGGCAGAATAAACAAGAAAAAAACAAAAACAACAACACCTTCTTTTGCTAGATACATTAACTAGAACTTAGTTCCAGCTTCTGCTTCTCCAGTGTCACGTAGGGTAGCTACAAGCCAAATGTGACTACGTAAAGAGGTATCAAGCTCCTTGCTCTGTACCTGGAAAACACCAGAAGACAGCTCAACTCCTTGGACTCCATGTTGGAGTCAACCTTGGCAGAGTTGCAGGCTCCTGGTCTGGCCCAGCCCTGGCAACCAACAGTCATTTGGGGAGCAACCCAGTGGATAAAAGTTCTCTTTCTTGTGCAACACCTTCCCTGCCTCTCCTTAACTATGCCTTTCAAATAAACACACACCCTCTTTAATGGTGCAGAGGGTTAAGCTTCTGGTTATGATGCTGACATCCCATATGAGTGCTAATTTGAGTCCCAAACTCACTCCCCTTCCAGTCCAGTTCTCTGTTAATGCACCTTGGAAAAGCAATAGAGGACCAGCCAAGTGCTTGGGCCACTGCACTCTTGTGGGAGACCTGGAAAAAGTTTCTGGCTTTGTGCTGGCCTATCCTTGTTCACCGCTGCCATTCAGGAAGTGAACTAATGGTTGGAAGATCTCTTTTCTAATTCTGTTTTTCTTTTTTTTTTTTATTATTTTTATTTTTTATTGGAAAGGAAGATATACAGAGAGGAGAGACAGAGAGGAAGATCTTCCGTCTGATGATTCACTCCCCAAGTGAGTGCAACAGCTGGTGCTATGCCGATCTGAAGCCAGGAGCCTCTCCGGGTCTCCCACGTGGGTGCAGGGGCCCAAAGCTTTGGGCTGTCCTCAACTGCTTTCCCAGGCCACAGACAGGGAGCTGGATGGGAAGCGGGGCCGCCGGGATCAGAACTGGCGCCCATATGGGATCCCGGGCATGCAAGGTGAGGACTTTAACCACTGCGCCACTGTGCCAGGCCCCTAATTCTGTTTTTCAACCAAATAAATCTTAAAAATCACTTCTGAGAAGACATGACACAAAGCAGAGTGTGTCAGAGACAGAAAATAGAACAGAGAAAATAATTGGAACATTAGGAAATTCAATATCTTGAAAATGAAAAATTGGAGGGAAGGAAATTAACAGAAAATCTCAACAAACATTTTGAGTAAAAATACACTGACAATATTCACAAAA